TATACATATACATATACATATACATATACATATACATATACATATACATATACATATACATATATATATATATATATGGAATATACTGGGTTATGGGTTTCAGTGGGATTCAGTGGGATTTATAATAAATCAGTTTGCTTCGGATTAAGTAACACTGTGCACTTCAGAAAAAGAAGAGAGTGAAAGAAAATAAAGGCAAGATATAAGGGAAAAGTCTACCGTAGTGCTTATAAATCATCATCAGATGGAGCATATTTCACTATTTCATGCAAGTTAGGATATCTAATCTAGAGATTACTTTCCAAGCCAATATGCTGTTGCTTATATTCCATCAGTTAACAGGTGTATGTAGAATGTAGTGATGACCTTAACTTCATGCAGATTCAGTCAGTTTTTATTGCAAGTTCTCTAAGTTTGCAATATTGCAATCTTCTAAAATGATAAATGAATTTATGTCACTGTCTCCATGGAATAAAGTAAAATAATTGAGCATTAGCAAATCTTGCTTTAGGCTTTGCCAAAAAAACAAACAAACACCCCTTTGCAACCCCTCTTAAAGTTGTTTGGGGCCCCTTCAAGGGGTCATAATTCACAGTCTGAGAGACCCAACAGTATAACAGTTTTGTATGAAACACAAAATCCTGTAGTTTAATCCTCTCTTAATAAGAGTTTTAGAATTTGCATGAAAGTTCATGCTGAACTGAATTTACTAACTTAGTGCCTGATAGTATCAACATGGAAATAGTCTATCATTGCTCCTAAAGATTTTTATTTCCTAGTTCAGCTAACAGTTTGGGATAGTTTGGTGCTCCCCCATCCAATGGCTAGCTAGATCTGATCCTGCTTAGCTTTTTCCAAGATTAGCTACATGATACCACCTTCTGTGATGCACAAAGTTTAGCCATCTGTATTATTCTGCTTAGTACAATTACAAATGTTTTAAGGAACACATAATACTATATTTGACCTCCCAGGATAACGAGGTAGCATTGGGGTAACTGGATATATAAATACTCAATGTAATCAAACACACGTAGGACCAAATAACCCCAAACCCAATCCATATTATGTTTCAGTGAAATGTGAATACATCAGAAAGTTAGTTGGACTGTAGTAAAAAGGCATAAACAAAATGTGCAAGTCTCAAGGATAACACCTTTGGCTATTTATTCTTAATAGCACTAGAAGTTTGAGGATAACCTGTCAGAGATCTTTTTCTGAGATCTCTCTCTCTGTGCATCATATCAGTGCTTTGCTTATAATGAAAAATGAATTTTCTTAGTCACTGAATAATGTAGGTGCTGTGTACATTTTTGGGTACCCTGGGTAATGGGAAAAGTCTATAGTGACTGCATTCAGACATTATACTAATTGTGTGATTTCTTGTATTGTGGCCTAATGCAAACTCAGGGAATTGTCATGTATTAAAAACACAATTAACAAAATCTTGACTTATTGCAATGTGTGAGATAGATAGTCCCTTTTTAAAATCAGTAGTCACCTAGTTGATTCCTGTTTGTGTAACCTAGATGATACAACTACAGTAGTGACACAATGACTGAGATTTCTCTCTCAAGGTATAGTTATTATTTAGCCAAGTTACACAAAATAAAACAAACAAACAAACAAACAAACAAAAAACAGCCAGAGCCAGCTTTGGACCTTTTCTCTAAACCAGCATTTCTCAACTTTCGACAACTTTCAGATGTTATGGACTTCAGCTTCCAGAATTCTGAAGTTGAAGTTCACATATATCTTTCTAAGGTTGAGAAACACTGCTCCATACACTCAGTTTTTAATTTAAAAGAAAAGTGCTCTTATAACCCTTTTTAGTTTTTACCAAAGGAGAAGAATGCTGGAAATGTTGAAATACAATATTTGGGATGAACAAACAGAAGAACTTCTCCAGAACTGAACTGAACGGGACCAAAATTGGTGTGCAAATAAAACCATTCCAGGAAACATGTAGCTCAGGGTTGCTTAATCTTGGCAACTTTGACGTGGACTTCAATTCGCAAAATTCCTCAGCCAGCCTGGCTGAGGTATGCTGGTAGTTGAAGACTACAAGTTTAAAACCTGCCAAAGTTAAACACCCCTGCTGTAGGCTTCTATTATTAGGGTAGCTTCAAGATTAAGCGATTAACAAAATTAAGCAATTGCAGTAAGCAGCCCTGCCTTCTTTCTATTCCGACTGAGGTCACAGGAGGGATTTAAATTTCCTTCTTTATTCTAAAATATTAAAGCAAAAAGGAGTTCTCATCCTAATGGTCCTCCCAAATGTTTTTTTTGTTTTGCAAACTCACACAAATATAGAGGAGCCCGCGAGTATATTTCCATCATTGTCCGATAAGTTTGGTTAAACACCACCATGAGTTATGATACAGAACACGTTTAATAATTGGTAAAATTAAATGTAGACATAGCCATTCCAAGGTACGCAGTTCCAACACGACACTTCCACGCTTTCCTCATTGCAACATTCAAATCAATACCCCTTGTCTACACTGACAGTTGCGTTTACATTAAAGAAAAATCGTATGCGTCTGCGCAGCCAGTGACGCGCACGCAGGCGCTTTCCTTGCCATAGTCTCCGGCCATTCTAACCCGGGAGCCGAAATTCAGTCGCTCAGATTTGGCAAGGCTGTTTCAAAACGATGTCGCCCACGATTCCCGAGTTGGCTGAGCAGCGGGGTAGCCAGGAATCGCACGGTGCGTGTTTCTAGGAGGCGTTTGTGAGCTCCGGTGGCTTGGCAGGGCGCAAAGTTTCTAACTTTTGCTGTTTGTTGGTCTGGGAATTGCAGAATTGTGTGGGCTCCGCTATATTATTCCTGAATGGGCTCCACCCACACCCCCTTCCCTACTTGGCAGGAGATTTACTACGTGTGCTGTACTCAGAAAGTAGACTCAATTAACTTTAGTCGCTCAGATACAGTGCACTTGACAATTTGGGGTTTTTAGTCCCCCGCCCCTGAATATCCAAAAGGGAAGTAGATAAGGTGGGTGTCGTTGAACTTCTGAAAGTGAGCTAAAACCTTTCGAAACCCGGATGAATTAAACTAAGAATCAAACGTAGTTTTAGTTAACAGCTGCATCTTCCTCGCTTTAAGTACCAGGTGAATTGGATCTCAGAAAATGATGTAACGAAACCCGAGTATTAAATAATACACGGCTAAACCGAGCTTGTTGATAATCAAAGGAGACCAAATTAGAACCTAATAGTGAAACGCGGTGAATCAGCTCCTCTGTCCTGTGTTTAACGCTGTTCCACCTCCTTGTTTTGTAAACCACGTGTAATTTTTCTACGGCGCTTGGTTTCCTTTTTTCGATGCTCGAACATGTGATTCGAGCGGATCAGTATTTTGCTCGGATTTTAAAGAACTTTCTCAGTTAATTTAAGGCAATTTTCAGGCACAGAAGGGATGCCATCAGATTAATGATAATAAAGTTATGCTGTTTATCACAGAAGCAAAAGATAGGTGTACATTTTGGTGTGCTCCTTAATGTTTGCCACTAAACATTTGTTAATATGAAATCAAAAGTCGCACTGAAGGCAGTGCTATATGGAGTTACAAGCCTGTAGCCCAGATTGATGCTTGTTCTCACAAAGTTCTTCCACTTAATGTGCGCTTTCTCCCTCTGAACCCAAAAGTAGGATAAAGAGAAAAACCCATTCTAATTGTAGTTGTGCTGTCCACTCCCTGCTTAGTTTCATGCACTGATTTGGCAGTAGGAGTAAGACATTAAATGCTCCATTCTGCAGGTAGTGTTAGCTGTTGGCAGCCGTGACTGCAATCCTGGGTGTGCTGGTGACATATGTATATCTCAGGAGCTTTATGCAGCTATTTGGCAAAAATACCCAACCATACATACTCTATCCCAATAAGGACAGTTAATTTAGTTTGCCCTCCCCAGGGATGGTACTGCTTCACTATTACACCACTAATGATTTTATAGGCCAGTTTTTAAAAGAGAAAATTCAAAACCCCACGCAAAGATGGCTGTTCTAGACAGTGAGGGTGAAGTCCTAATTCTGAGAGACTTCTAAGGTTCTCATCTTATGTCCCAGTTGTTGATGGGAGAGCATGTAAAGACTTCCCCAGTGGAAATAAGCTCCTGCCTATGTCAAAGTGAGGCAAAGAAATAATGCTTTTTCAAAAATAGGTACTGTTCCATTCATGATTGTTCTTTGTCAGATATCCTGGCCAAAGTGGTCCTCCAATTCTGACAAATAATGGGGCACAGCATATCCTCTTTGTCCTGGTTTCATTCAGATTTTAAAATGTTGTTTAATTAAAACTATATTAGGAGTATGTGTATTGAGCATTCTCAGTACTTGTGATGAATTATACAAGCATTAAGCTGTTGATGTGTACAGGTGATCACTCATTTAGCAACCATTAAAAGTTATGCTTCATAGCATCCCTCCATGCTGAATGAGGAGACTTATGACTTATCCTCAAAATTGCAGCTCCCCACCATCACTCAGTTGTGTTTGGCTGCTTGGCAGCTGGCACCAGTTAGAAAAGTTGCAGCATTCTGCAGTCACATGATAACCATTTGTGACCTTACCAGCTGGCTTCTGACAAACATTTGGGGAAGCCAAGTTGTGATCATCTAACATCATGCTTAACAATCGTGTGTGATTCACTTAATAACTGCAATAGGGCCTGCTATAGCTGCTGTTGTAAGTTGCATAGTTGTGTGATTGTTTTGTTTAATGACTGTGTCAGTGATGGCATTGCTGGTCCCAATTACCATTATAAGATGAGGACTCCCTGTACAGTAAATTGGCATCAGTCTTCTGACCTGATCGCTAAGTGAGAAATTCTACTGTTCCCAAATGTTCTTCCACAAGACTTCCTGCCATACTTAGTAGGATATTATTGCCATTAGAATTCCTCTAGACCTTCTTCTTTGAAAAAAAAGCTTATTTATATATTCAGGGGAAAAATATTATAAGATAAGATAGGATGGAAGCATTTGCTCTTTATTGTAATCTTGTCCTTCTTCAGGCTGTTTTGTTACATTCTCTATCTTATCCCTCAGTCAGCTTATCTCTTGGTGGGGGAAGGGAATTAGTTATAAACGGCACAAAAATAAACCCCTGAAGATAATAAATATAAGTGTAAATAAATAGGTTAATAAATAGGTTGGAAGGAGGAACACTCCTTTCTTTTTCAATACCAGTACCTCTTCTACTTTAAAAATGAAATGGTGGTTTTGATATATTTTTCCCCTAAGGTTTCTTGAATTTCATTTTATCCTAATGTTCAGTAAATACTTTGGTTTAACAAATATCCCAAAGACATCTCTTGTAGTGCTGGGGTGTTCCATTCTGTGGATGGAATGTGATAAGGCTTCAGGAAAAATATTGTAATCTCTCTTTTGAGATAGTTATGCTTCATTATGTTTGTCAAGGCATGCAAGTCAGACAGAAACATAGATCCTTGATTCCTTTTTTTTCCAGATGATATCAGTTCACAACTAATAAATGTCTGCAAGTAAGTGCCAAAATGGAAGCAGAAATTATAGAGAAATGCATCCAGAATATATGTATTTAATCAACAAGAACATTGTTTTTAGAATAAAATAGAACAATAAAAACAAAAAAATTCTAAGTACCCCAAAGAAAACCATTTCATCAGTAACAAAAACCCTATCCAATTGGGTCTCAATTATCGATTGAGGACCGGGAGAATAGCCAAAATAATTTCCTGAACAACATCAGGGTGAAAGCCCTTTTAATCAATGTTTGTGTGGGTGGATATCATTCCAGGCACTGTGAGCGGCCTATTTCTTGGTCCTCCTAAATCCGTGATGGCGAACCTATGGAACATGTGCCACAGGTGGCATGTGGAGGCCTCTGCTGGCATGCAAGCCGTCACTCTACTGTGCATGTGCATGTACCTCCTGCCGCCCAGCTGATTTTTGGGTCTCTGCAGTGCATGTTGTATAATCAAAACACAGTTAAAACACTATACAAGCCATCAAGAATCTAACTATATAAATCCAACAGGAACAGGAAGTGCTTCACAGGAGCAGATAGAGGTAAATCCTAGAAGGCAGGGAATGCATCACTCAACAAGTGATGAATGCTAGAGAGGAATAAAGCTGCATACAAGGCCAACATAACACCTGTAACACATTGGGGGGGGGGAAGCACAGGTGTGTGCGCCCCCCCACCCTGTTTTTAGTCCCAGGGGGCTTTGGGGAGGCCTGCTAGGCCCAAAATGGGGTGCATTGTATTATGGGTGTGGGCACGCCTGCTGTTGTGCATGTGTGTGAGCTTTCAGTACACGAGGACAAAAATGTTAGCCATCACTGCCCTAGATGATATTGCCAATTAATGGGACTCAAAGCATGCCCCTCTGCCTAACCTCTTTGGACCGAGAGATGTACAATAAATGGAGATAAATAGTCTCTCAGGTAATTTGGCCTTAGGTCATGAAGAACTTTTGATGAATTTGTAAGAGTTGTTTGGGTTTTGATATTACTATGTTTTGTTTATTATTGTGAACTGCCAAGAGTTTGCTATAAATTAGGAAGGGTGAGAGACAGAGGTAGGTTGCTCCTGGTTTGGCCCGGATTGGGCAAACCGGTAGTGGCTCCGCCCACCCACCCAGATGCTTCTGCGCATGCACAGAAGCATCGAGCACGTGAGCAAACTGGTACTAAAAAAAATTGAAACCCACCACTGGAGAGAGAGAAATAAAAGCATTATTATTTATGAGAAAGTTGAACTCAACTCAATTTAGTACAAAACCAACAAGCACAGAGTAGGCTTGCTATTTTCTACTTACAGGCATTTCTGTCCTCTATCATTCTCTGGAGTCCATTTAAGCACACACCTACTGCTTCAGTGACTCTATTCAGTCATCTCATTCTCTGTTGTCCCTTTCTTCTTTTGCCCTTAATCTTTCCCAGCATTAGGTTCTTCTCCAGTGAGTCGTTCATTCTCATTAGGTGGCCAAAGTATTTCTAAACTTGAAATAACATTAAATGTCTGTTTCTCTAATCTGGGGCTTTTTAGTTGTGTTGGAAATACTAGGTTCTTAGAGATCTCTGTGTCTTAATCTTTAAGTAAGCACCCTTTCAGAATTTAGCTAGGCCATATGCTACTTTTGTTTGTATTAACAACTTTTTAATTAGTTTATCGAAGTATAAGATACAAAGAAAAAACATGAAAAGTAAGAAGAGAGGAAGGGAAAAAGAAGGGGTATAGTGTAATGGGGAAAAAAAGAAAAAGGCATCAACTTCTGACTCTCTTTAGCACAGTCAAGGGTAACTACAACTTTTTGCTTTTACACAATATATTCAAGACATTTCTATAACAATAAGCCTGTCCAATTTACAAAAACAAAATCAAGGTTTCATTTTCCCCCCCTCATTGCCAGCACAAAACCGGGAAGCATTTTCAAACTAGAGACAGATTTAAATATCATTTCTTATCTGGATAAAAGAAACATTTTAACCATCTCCGCTTCCCTTGCTGTGTGGGGAATAATACATCATTCATTCTCATATTTTCATATCTAGTCCATAATATTTTATCAACTTTAAACTATTGTTCAGCATTACTTTAAAAACTGGCAGACCTGCATATACATACATACTCAATTTTATACATTCAAAACTAAGGTAAAGCTTTATAACAATACATATATCAATTTAAAAAAATGATTCACCCTAATTAATTAAACCATATTTAAGTCACTCCCATAAGCTACTTTTGTGTTCTTGTTTTAGTTGCAACAATACAGATTTTATATATGTATGTATGTATGTATGTATGTATGTATGTATGTATGTATGTATGTATGTATGTATATCATGTATATCTGCCTTCCTAAAGCAATTCAGGATGGCATGTCCAAAATCTTCAATGCTTTAGAGCCTATGATTGATTGCGAGGAGAGATGCTGATTGCTTTAATGTTTTACAAATGTTGCCATAATGCAGTTTTCAAAAAAAACCTGAAAGAGGAAATAGAATCCATTCTGAGGGAGCGCATTATGGTTTTGGATGGAGGCATGGGGACCATGATTCAGCAATATTCCTTAGGAGAAGAAGAATTTCGAGGTCAAGAATTTAAGGATCACCTGAAACCACTCAAGGGAAATAATGACCTGTTGAGCATAACTCAGCCTGATATCATCTACAAAATTCACAAGGTGAGTACAGGTTTTTCTATGAGTCTTGTACTTGAAAGGATTTATTGCTTCTTCTGACATGTATAACAACTCTTGAGAGCTACATTCACATGGTCTATTTGGTCACTTTAAACTGTGTGAACCTAACTCCCAGAATTCTGGCTGGAGAATTCTAGCAGTGGAAGCCCATACAGCCCAAAACTGCTGAGGTTGAGAAACAGTGGTATGGATAGAGTGCAATTATGGGCCCTTTACTCAAAAATGGAAGATGATTGCTGAGTATTGTTCAGTGAAAAAGGCAACAAAAAGTAAATCAGAGGATGGAACATTTTCACTAATTTGAATGGACTGGATTATGCTTATATTTTTTTTACTCTTACTTTGAAAATACATTGATTAATTAATCCCTATTTTGTGCTGTAGTCCTATTTATTTGCATATGTGATCCCTCAGAGCCGATAAATGGCTGAAAAGCATTAAGAATAATATAGATTTTAGCTCTTCATCTATTTAATTGAAAGATGAGGATCCTCCAAGGTCCCTGGTTAAAAAGAAAAAAGTATAAGAAATATATAAAAAAATACTTTCTGCACTGTTCACCAGAAAAAGTAATCTGATATTCTGTCTCGACAATGGCTTTACCCAGCCATTTCAGACCCCTGAAATAGTATGCAATTTGGAACTGTCTTGGGCATCTGTTAGAAATGAGGTCTGCTTGTTTTTAACTCACTGCAGAATTAGGTCTTTAGACGCACTGATTCTCACTTCACTATTGAACTAAGTAAATAGTCATTGAGACTATTTACTCCTTTGATTAGATTCAAGGGTTTCCCTCCTGCTTTGTGCATATATTAGAATAATTTATTAGGTGGAAGTAATGTCAGGGTACATAGAGGACCATTTGAAAAAAAAAAGAAATTGGGGATTTAGTGACAGAAGATTGGCTGTGATGATCTAGAGTGGAGAAAGGCAAGCTGGAAGGAAGTTTTGAGGTGTTGGGTGTAGGAATTGATCAGATTTACACCCCACATTTTATTTTGTACACCCAAAGACAGTCTGCATACAGTAATGCTCTTTCCTCCTATTTTCTACAACAATCCATTAATATGGTTGAATATGGCATGCATTGAGCTGAGAGAGAGTAATTGGCTGTCTCTTAGCTCAGTGGTCTCCAACCTTGGCAACTTTAAGACTTGTGGACTTCAACTGCCAGAGTTCTTCAGCCAGCAAAGCACAGTGGACAGCTACTGTCTTCTGAGTTTCAGCATGCACATGCGCTCCAGCCAGCTGGTCTTTGCACAAAGACTACGTGGTGAAATCCGGAAGAGAGCAGCTGGCCAGTGTGCATGCAGCAAAGGGAACCCGGAAGTGCAGCTGGCCACGGTGCGTATGCACACCAGCCAGCTGCTCTCTTCCAGGTTCCGGTGCTTCAACTCGCGCTGCACTTTCAGCACTTGGTGCCGAAAAGGTTAACCATCGCTGCTATACCAAGTGGTTCCAAGTTTGGGATTCAGAATCTTCCTATTATTTGGGGATTCTTTATGCAGCATGAAAATAAAGGTGCCCTTTATTAACATTTTGGCTCTGAGGCTTGGCAACCTGCCCTTACACTGTAATTCCTTGGTGCTTAAGTGGTACTATCAAACAGGAATGGAAGGGAAGGGTTTCTCCGATTTCGAAGAAGTTACTAGTGTTACAAAACAATTACCCAGGTTTGAGCCTTTAAATACTAGCACATCTTTGTATTGGTAATATGTGTCAGTGTTTTACCGCAGGATCTGTTTTTTAAAAACATTTGGTGCCTCTATCTTTTGTGAATTGCAGATACAAATACACAAAAACATATAATGTATTTACAGAAGTTATTTCAAAAGAAATAACATTTGAAAATATTGATATTTTCTTAACTTTTAAAAAGTCTGGGTCAGTGGTGGGTTCCGGATCCCGTTCTGGTTGGAAAGGGCCTGGCGTCGTCCACATGAACGTGCGCAGCGCGCGCATGCATCTTACCGCCTCCGCGAGCCTCCATGATGCTCCAGCTGCTCAGTGGAGCATCACAGGCGCTCTACATGCCATGTGCAGAAGCACCGAAGACTTAAAAGACCGGCAAGGAGCTTGGGCGGGCGGGTGGGCCTTCCAGAGCACCATACCGGAACGGTATCTGGTGCCCAGAGCACCATACCGGAATGGTATCTGGTGCCCAGAGCACCATACCGGAACGGTATCTGGTGCTCCAGGCAGGCTACGGTACTCCCGTACCTGGGCATACCGCCTGCAACCCACCACTGGTCTGGGTACACAAAGAAATATATTCAACCATCAGCCAATTTCACTGAAAATCTAAATTGGGAATTCTTCCTGGTAGCATTTTGATTAAAATACAACATTCTCTAATTACCTTTGTCCTCATTTATTTTCTTTACTGCTGAGGGGGAAAACAAATCCAAGAGTTTAAAGTGAGACAGTCATATTGAAGCATCCAAATCTGAAATATAACTACATTTCTTTGTACAGTATAACAACATGAATATGAAACAGGAATTGCTTCTTTTGCCACTTTCAGTTATAATTTAATTGTATAATATGCCGTAGAGTTTCCTCTCCTGCTGTTCAAATAATGAAAAAAACATAAGCTGAGTTTGCAGTTGAGAGGATTTCTAAAGCTTTTCCTCTAATCTCAAAGATTAATAACAGAACTAAAAGTGATCAGGGAAATGTCCTGTTTTACATCTAGTTACTTTACCAATAATGGTAGATAAATTGTTAACTATATGTAATCTATAGTAGATAGTGTTTTGCTAATTGATAATGTATCTTTGGGCTTGATTAGAGCAACTATTTATTCAGTAGCCATTGACTGTAAGTTCTGTTTTCTGATTGTTGAATAATTTAATTATAGATGAACTTTGATTTGTGTTGCTCTTCAGTTTATCAGATTTAAGTATATAGATTTTTACTTCAGTTGGAAGTATGAGCTAATGGAGTATGAGTCCTGGTGGTGCAGTGGCCAGAATGCAGTATTGCAGGCTAACTCTTCCCACAGTTCGATCCTGACTGGCTCAAGGTTGACTCAGCCTTCCATCCTTCCAAGTTTGGTAAAACAAGGACCCAGATTGTTGTGGCCAATAGGCTGACTTTGTAAACTGCTCAGAGAGTGCTATAAAGCATTAAGGGTGGTATATACTATAAGTCTAAGTGCTATTGCTACTGCTATTCAATTGTTCTTTTCTGCTTACAGGAATACTTGCTTTCTGGTGCTGATATCATTGAGACAAATACTTTCAGCAGCACTAAAATAGCACAAGCTGATTACAGCCTTGAACATCTGGTGAGAGTTTTGGATTTCTTGCTTGTCAAGGTTGGGTTTTCCTTTGACCAGTTTTGACCAGGCTGGCTGGCTGGGAATCATGGCAACTGAGACCAATATGTCTAGATTGTACTAGATTGGGAAGGGAGGGATGCTTTGAAGCAGCATAAATATTCATGGGAAAAATATAAATTGTGTATAAGAAGTCCATTCGGTTTGTGGTAGTGTGATTTTGATTTGTTTACTTTTGATAAAATATGATTTAGTCTTGGAAATTAGGATTGGACGAACAGGAAATAACCCATAAGGATTAACTCTGTGGCGGTAATCCACTATTCACTTGCCACTCGTGTCTCACTTGATCATTTGCTGAAAGAGCCTCATTGCAAAAACAGCAGTGCTTTGCTTGATTACAGGTAGCTCTTGACTTTTGACCACAATTGAGCCCAACATTTCTGTTGTTAAGTGAGACATTTGTTATGTGACATGTTGCCCCATTTTATGACCTTACTTGCCTTAGTTGTTAAGTGAAACGCTGCATTTGATAAGTGAATGACCTGATTGGTAAGTGAATCTGGCTTCCCCATTGACTTTGCTTATCAGAAGGTCATAAAAGGTGATCACATGATCTTGGGACATTGCAATGGTCATAAATATGAACCAGTTGCCAAGCATCTGAATTTTGATCACATGATCATGGAGATAGTGCAAAGGTGAAAAACTGTCATAAGTCTCTGTTCAGTGCTGTTGTAACTTTGAACAGTCACTGAGTGAACTGTTGTAAATCGAGGAGTACCTGTATTCCCAATTTCGTTACTGTGGATATTTGTCCTTTCCCACTACTGTTGATGCTTGTACAATGTTGCTTTGTACTAAAGGTAAAGGTTTCCCTTGCACATATGTGCTAGTAGTTCCCAACTCTAGGGGGCGGTGCTCATCTCCGTTACAAAGCTGAAGAGCTAGCGCTGTCCTAAGACATCTCCGTGATCATGTAGCTGGCATGACTAAACACCAAAGTCACACAGAACGCTGTTACCTTCCCACCAAAGTTGGTCCCTATTTTTCTACTTGCATTTTTACATGCTTTAGAACTGCTAGGTTGGCAGAAGCTGGGACAGGTACCGGGAGCTCACTCTGTTACGCGGTGCTAAAGATTCGAACTGCCGAACTGCTGATCTTTCTGATCGATAGGCTTAGCGTCTTAGCCACTGAGCCACCACATCCCTTTGCTTTGTAGTGGGTTTATATAAATTAATCTTTAAAATGCTGTTATCTGGGTGAGGACTTTAAGATATTCGGTTTGAATGGTGAAGATCTTTTTTTGTTCTTCTTGAAAAAAAAGCAAACAGATGCCATATCGGCAATGATCGATGTTTGCATCTTTGCAAGACTCTGCCACCTTTCATATCCTGTTGTCTGATCTGAATAGCAGCCAAGACATGAGTGTTTTTTTAATGAATCATCTCCAGAAGGCTGCTTTTAATCCTGTCTTGTGTTTTTAGTTGACATCATTTTCCAGATCCTTGAGATAAATTCATCTGTAACACTGTTGTTTTGGAGGTGATTGTGAATTATAGCAGTGATTCCTTGGGGAGAGGTTTTTCCGTGGACTGGAGGGGGCGTAGTTTTGCCTGTTGACTGTATCCCACAGATGGGGTTTTGCTTATTTGCGCGGCCTGGTTTCTGGCATGCTACGGCCTGGTGCCGGTCCATGAACCAGGGGTTGGGAGCCCTGAATTATAGTGTTAAATGAATAATCCATGGGTTTGCAAATTCTCTGCCTCTTCTAATGAGGCCAAGAAGCAGCATTTTTTCCCTTCTATTTTCAAGAATCTGCTTTGCTCTTTGATCAGGCTCACTTATCCCACTATGTCAGAAATATGTACATCTCATTTTGGCTTAACGCCGTATGTAAATCTTTCTTTGCCCATGTCCTGTCTTTACCCACCTTGATTCATTTCAGAAGTAGAAATTCCTAAAGGTGAAAAAAAAATCTGTTTAGGGTGAACTGGCATAATCTCTGTTTCATTTCATTGTCCTAAGATTAGTTATTCGGTCCTAAGATTAGTTATTGCCAGTTGGTCTTTCTAGAGCAGTGGTTCCCAACATTGGGGCCATGCCCCATGGGTGGGGGGAGCAATTTGATTTTTAATGGGGGAAATTTGAACCTTGTTTAAATCAAGTTAATGGCCTTTTAGGCTTCCTCCACATGAGTAGAGTTCACTTTTTGAGTAAAGTAAGAATTATATGTCATGGGGGGTGGGGGTGGGGAATCAGGATTTTAGAGATGTTTAGGTGGGGCATGACTAAAAAAAGGTTCTGAACCACCGTTCTAGAGTCTAGAGTCTAGACAATCTGAAGACTGTTAAAGATAGGTGATAACATTAGGAGCCTCTGTATAAGATCTTTTCACTGCAGAAGTATAATGGAGGGTTCAATGCAATGCAAATGAAGATTATTGTTTTCTTTTCTTCTTTTTTTTGTATCTACCATTTATCTCCCAATCTGTTATTAGGCTTATCGATTAAATAAAACATCAGCCCAGATAGCTCGAAAAGCAGCTGATGACATTACTGCAGAGACAGGTGAGTAACTTGACACACTGATATGCATTTGTATCATGAGTTATCTAGGCTTGCAAATGTAGTTTTGACTGTGGTTTTAAATCACTTTATTACAATTTTCCTCCAACGAATTTTGAAAAGCACCTAAGAGTCATAGGAGCGGTTACCTAATTTGCTGTCCACCTGGAATTTTGAAATATAATTACCTGTATTTTAGCAGCACTTTTTGATTTTTGATTTTTTACCAATAACCATTTTAAGTAGTTCTTGATATTTTGAATCTCCCTTTAGTATTTTTATGCCAAGCTGAATTTTCTGGTCCAAGTTCTGATGGCTTTCAGTATTGTGTGAAATAATAAATGCAGTTTGCGGAGCAAAGATGTAATATGATCATAAGGAGGCTGCTGTATTCTGGACCAATTGAAGCTCTTTAAGGCCAATTCTGTTGTAGAGAGCATTTGCAATAATCTACTCACAAGATGACCAAAGCACCAAGGAAGGTGTGTGTCATGTTGACACATCTGGGAAAATCTGAATCTCTTAATAAATTAGAACTTTGAGCAATACTTTGCCTTGGGTTCTAATTTAATTTTGGATGTTATTTGGAACCATGACGGTGTGTAATTCTACACAATACAAAGCTGTGAGATCATGGTGCTATCTGCTCTTCAAACAGGAGCCGTGAGTCTAGGAGAACTTCCCAATTGTTTATTGATTCTATGCTACCCTAGCGCTAAAGATGGAAAATCACCAGATCCAAGAGGCCATAAAATCTAAAGCCACTCTCTTTTGCTAGATTTACCTGAAGTCTGTTCTTCTCCATTCAGATCCACACATACTTGCTATTAGCATAGAACAGCAGTCCCCAACCGTTCCATCTTGGCGGCCCACGGGGGAGGGGGGAGGGGGAAAAGGAATAGTTTTGTATGAGGGTGAGTACTCACCGCTCCTGCAAACAGAGCTTTGCTCCTGAGCCCAATTGCCCGTCGCTCACACAAATGAAACTGCACATGTGCTCCCCCGTCGCTTGCGTGGTTTGATTCCATGGCCTCAATGTTGGGGATCCATGGTGTAGAGCTGTGATGGCGAACCTATGACATGTGTGCCAGAGATGGCATACACAGCCCTCTCTGTGGGCACATGCACTGTCACCAGCTGCTCTTCTGGTTTCCGACGTGCATCTGATCTTCACGGGCGCCGGAAAATGGCCAAAAAAACAGGCATGCGTGTGCCGGCCAGCTGGTCTTTGGGTTTCTGGTGCTCTGGCTCGTGTACATGAACATGCATGCACACGCATTCCAGTTTGGGCACTCAGTGCTGAAAAGGTTTGCCATCACTAATGTAGAACATAAAGAAACATTGCTGCTATAAAAGAAAACCATTACAGAAATACTGACTTTGACCAAAGCCACCCTTAGTAATTTGGAATGGGAACAATATCAGAATAGGTGAAGTCTTAACACAAAGTAAGTAAGATCTCCATGTTTAAGTGTGAAGTCAACATTTTCTTTTACGTTTTTCCTGCCTTTGGACTTTTCTTCTTAAAATGGTGATAATTGGGCTTTTTTTCTTAAAATGGGGCTAAGTTTGTTTTAGAATTATGCTATTATTTTCATAGGCTTCCTATTGCAAAAACGGTAGGAAATCAAAAATATGGCAGTACCATTTTTAGAGCTGAAAGAAAATTCAGTGGCCAATTGTAATTCTGGGGTCACAGTTTGCCTATACCTATCTTTGGTGTTCAGGATTTTGTTCATTCATAACCTAAAACAATGGCCATTATTATCAATTAGTGTATGAAGATCAGTAGAAGCAGACCTTTGTACTCAAAAACGGTCTCTCTAGCAAGACATTTTTTTGGCAGAATGGATCATCTAACTTCTGGAAGGCAGTCATGGTTTTTCATAATTACATACAAATGAAGACCATAAGATCAATTGTAGTCTATTATTTTGCATTTCTTTGTCTTACTACCTAAAGCTTGTCATTTAATTATTATCCTTGTGCTTTTCTTTGTTAAGGAAGTAAAAGATATGTTGCTGGGGCGATGGGTCCCACAAACAAGACCCTTTCTGTTTCCCCATCAGTGGAAAATCCTGATTATCGGAATGTTAGTAAGTATTTCCATTGATAATCTTAAAACCGAAAATGATTATTAATTTGGCTTTACCTGCTTCTGTCAATTTAGTTCTAATCGCAGTTCTGCCATATTGACTCAAAACATTCAACAGTTCTAAAGATTTTCTCACTTTGAATTTTATTTCATGTTTGGCTACAGTTAATAAGTTCATAATTACTGATACATTAAAAAAGCCTCAGGCATTTTTAGAGTAACCTAGCAAACATTTAGTAATATCTGATAGCCCATCTGATGCTAGCAATCTCATGTACTATCTCAAACAATAAGGAACTATAATGCAGGTTTAACTTGAAGCTGAAACTGGAAAGTACATTTTTCATTGTTGTAACTATTTGTTGCTGTGTTTTAGCTTTTGATGAATTGGTGGATGCCTACACTGAACAAGCCAAAGGTCTTTTAGATGGTGGAGCAGATATCATGCTGGTGGAAACCATATTTGATACAGCCAATGCCAAGGTGAGGTTTTAAGTAGAATCTTAGAAGTTTATAATGATTTTGTCCATTTGTCCATATGTGAAAAGGAAGTCATTGCATATACTAATCAGTGTGCTTTCACATATTCTACTGTAAAATGAGAGGTTGACTCCCCTTTAAGGGCAACTGAAGTTTTGAGTACTGCTGCCCTATGATTTATTGCAGGGCTGTCAAGCTCATGGCCCGCAGGCTGGATGTGTCATGCGCTGGCCACACCCATACACGGTTTAGCGAAGGGGGAAAAGTCCCAATACGTCACATGATGCCACTGTGTCCAAGCAAGTTTGACACCCCTGGTTTATGGTATTGGAAATTCAGATTTGGAAATCTATGCCATGAAATTTTTTAAAAAAAAGTACTTTTCCCTTAACTAAAGAGAAGTCTTAGAAATGGAACTAAAAAAAGGGACCCAATTATCTTTTATCTGTTTTCTGAAATTCTTGTACAAAGTCAAGATAGTATAGTGAAGCAAATAGAGTCAAACCTGAATCTTTAGTCTAGTTTGCATTAGAGATAAGGTTTATAACATGGGACGTTCCTTAATCTCTCTCTCTGAGCCTTGAAGATCTCTGTGAAGTTCATACTCCAGCCTGACTGAAGCTTTAATTTGGGATTTAAAATAAAGTTTGAGATATATTGCAATTTCTTTTTATATTTACCAGTGTGTTCTCTGTGCTGTGCTCAGTTGAGTTGAGGTCTTATTAAGGCATCTTACCTGATTCAGTTTCTGTATGGACTTTCAGGGTCTATTTTGTAATGAATCCTGTAATAGAAGACACAGATCAGCGTGTTTCTTTTGGTGGCAAATGTCCAGCAGACTCCACTCTGGTTTGCATACTTTCCTTGACTGTCTGTATGCATGTTTTGGAGCAGGATTGAGCTGTACACTTTCATTAGTGGTAATTTATCCTCTTTCTCTTCCATATCTGTGAAATGAGAATTTCCTAGAGTAAAAAGAATTAATTTATCATGATATTTTCATTGAACAGGCAGCTCTCTTTGCTCTCCAAAAGTTATTTGAAGAAGAATATGAACCGAGACCCCTGTTTGTGAGTATATTCTAATTATACTTAAAATTATCCAGTTCTTCTGAAAAAGAGTACATTCCCTTTTTTATACAGGAGTTAATATAATCAAGAACAGTGTGTTTTGGAAACCTCACATATTGTGTGTTAGCTTGCTCTTTTCAATATGTGCTTTATAATCATATTAAATGATAATAAATGAATGACCTGCCATATAGAGCAGTCTGAAAATGTCCCCCTCAATAATATTACCAGTGTGCCAAATTATAAGAATCTTGCCTAGCCTCCTAATTATCTTCCCTTGGAAGATGCCAGCCTTGAATCCCGAGTAATTTTCACACTAAGTTATGGCTTCATTAGCCGATAAAGTTGAATTGTGGGCTTAGCAACTGTAACGTGTGGCATATTTTGTCTGTTTTACATGTCTGAAAATATTTTAATTCCTCCCCAGAGTCTCTGCATACTAAAAATACATATAAATAATAATATTGCTCAGTGTGCAGTTCTGTGCAGTTAACTCAGAGGGTAGCTGTGGCTGAGTCTTGGAATACCCCTCTTCTCCCCAGCTGCTGCTTTTATGTTTACTGTTTTAAATGTGCTGCGGTCCAACTGGGAACTTCAGTAGCAGCTGAAAGCTTCCTAAATCTTATTGATAGCTTCCTGTTCCCCACTGCTCCATACAGATAGCAGGCAACACCTCCTTCTCCTGCCTAGAGCAGCCAGCCTGCCTAGTACAGGTGTGGGTAGTTGGATGTTTTGACAAGATAGTTACATCCCATCTATCCTTGATTGAACAAGGTGCTTTTGGAGGGGGTTGTCCTCTGCACCTTGTGACCTGAAGCTGGGAGATGATAATTCAAGTAGGGAACATCTGTCATTGATTAAAGGAAGAACAGGTATTTAACACATATATTCTCCACAGACTCTTGGCACTTGATCCCCCAAATTATTTTGCTGACATGAGGACATTTGGTGCACAAGGATAGCAAGGGAAAAACCAATCATTTTGCTTTTATAAGCTTGGGATATTTTTAGGGCACAATGGGTAGGCTTAATGGAGAAGAACTTGATATGTAAAACAATTCAGAGGATAGTCTGTTGAACTGATATCGCTGCTACTTTTGGTTCTGCTATATGTTATTGTTTCCATAGAGACCTTAAGTGGTTTTCATGTGGTTTTGGGGGGGTAACGTGAACATATGCATTGTATACCAGATTAGAAATATACCCCTAATTAAAAAAAGGCTTGCTATGTTCGGAAGAAATGTCAAGCTTCATAAGGATTGACATAGGAATAAAAGATAGATGAGGAGAAAGACATATTCTCATACTGCTATAGAAAATGGACCGTTTTTTTAAAAAAAATCCCTATTTGAGCAAAATCATTAAAATTTGTTTTGAGTATTGAATACAGATTAAAAATTTATCCCGATGTGCTTTTTGGATAGAGCGGCCCTCTCCAGGCAGTTCCCTTTAAGGTGAACCGAAGCTTCAGCCCAGGGGTGGCTGGGGTTTGTGGGTATTGTAGTCTCCCACCCCACCCCCCCAATGCATAGAAGGGATCTAGATATTGTGCTCCCCAAATAAAGAAGGGATTTGAAGAAAGATGGGGTAGGGGAAAAAACAGCTACTCACTTCCAATTTTGTGGCAAGTCCGATGTTTTCCACAGAAGCATTAAAGTTAATTTCAGTTTAGCATGTGTTATTGCTCTGTTTTTAATGTTGTTGTTTTGACTTTCTCCCTACTCTTCTCCTTGTGGTCCATAGGTATCAGGAACTATTGTCGATAAAAGTGGCCGTACTCTCTCTGGGCAGACTGCGGAAGCATTTGTCATCAGCGTATCTCACAGCCAGCCCCTTTGGTGAGAAAACAGACACCCTGGATATGCTTTAGAATAAGCATTGCAGCTGCAGTAGATTCTATAACCATTTTGCTAAAAGAGATTCCCAAAGAAGGAGCTTGCAGGGTCATTAATTGCTGCTGTTGCTCAGATTACCCACAGTCTAACATCACTGGCTTTTTTTCAGAGAAATCATTATTCTCCTGTGTGCTGCTCCGGGAATCCAATCATGGGTTAACTTAGCCTTCTAGCCTTGAGACTGAGTATGCAAATTTGAAAGTTTCGCCTCCTCTGACTGGACGTCCGTTTCCTTTTCAGTTCTA